AAGGAAAAAATGACTGGGATGTAGAGTGTCTAATATGTTCCAGTAATATTTCGATTGCAAATAAGGGCATTTCCGATATTAATGACCATTTGAACACACAAAAGCATAAAAGTAATTCAAAAAACCAAGCTAGCACCTCAAGCATCACCACATTTTTTGGCAAAACAAAACCTAGTCCAGACGAAAATCTAATTCGAGCAGCAGAGGGAGCGACAGCTTACCACACCGTTAATCATCATATGTCCTTCAAATCTTTGGATTGCACTAATGCGTTAAACAGAATTATGTTTTCTGAATCAAATACAGCGAAACAAATGACATGCAACCGCACAAAGGCTACAGCGATTGCAAAAAATGTGTTGAGTCCTTTATCGATTGATGAACTCAAAAATGATCTCACAGATATTGCATTTGTCAGTGTATCTACCGACGCTAGCAACCATGGCAACGTAAAATTGTTTCCGATTGTCATTCAATATTTCAATAAAGAAAAAGATGGTATGACATCGAAACTCCTGGAAATTGAAGTAACTAAAAATGAAACATCTGACACTGTTGTTGAGATTATTCTTCAACAACTTAGAAAGCACGACCTCTTATCAAAATGCATTGCGTTTTCTGGTGACAACTGCAACACAAACTTTGGCGGCGTAAATAGAGCGGGAACAAATAACGTCTTCTATAAATTGAAGGATAAACTTAATAAAAATATTGTAGGAATAGGATGTTCGGCCCATATATTGCACAACGCAATGCACCACGGTTGTGACCTTTTACCTATTGACGTGGAAGCGATGATCTCCAAAGTACACAACTTTTTCTCGGTGTACACAGTACGCACAGAGGCTCTAAAGGAATTTTGCACTGAGATGGACACAGAATTCAATAATCTTTTATATCATTCAAAGACGAGATGGTTAAGCCTGTTTCCTGCCATAGAGCGGTTTTTGAAAATGTACGATGCATTGAAAGGCTACTTTGAAAGTTTGGAAAGGCCACCGGTTTTAATAAAAAAGTTTTTTGAAGATCCACTTTCAGAAGCATATCTGTATCTGGTTCACTCAATAATGTACGTGTTCCATGGGAATATTGAAAAGATGGAAAGAAGTGACAATTCCCTCCTTGAAGTCAAAGATATTTTGACGTCTTTAAAAAAAAACATTAGAAGACAGAATAAAAGAAAATTTCGTGCCTATTAAAGTGCTCAGCATATTAAACAGACAAGGAGAAGACACAAAAAATCAGTTTAAACAATGTTGTATGGATTTTTACACGGAGATAAAGTCTTATATTACAACGTGGGAAAAGCTAATGCATGACTTCAACCAGTTCGATTGGATGATGTTGGGAAATATTACAGAGGATTCACCTTGGTCTGAAATCGAAAAAACAGTCTTATTTCTGAAAGACAGAGACATTGAAATAGACGACTCGAAATTGATTGACGAGTGGGTCAATTTGAAAGCATACAGCTTAAATCTTTCAGATGAAGAAAAAAAATTAAGCACTAACCAGCTCTGGCAGATGTTTTTTAAAACAAAGAATGCACATCTGTACAGTGAATTAAGTAGGATTGCGCAATACTTTTTCTGCATACCCGCTCATAATGCCAATGTAGAGCGGATATTTTCACTGGTTGATCAGCAATGGACGAAAGAGAGAAACTCGCTCGACCCGGACACTGTTTCTTCACTAATAAAAGTGAAATATAATTTCAAAGACAAAAGTTGCGTAGATTTTTATAAGTTTATAACAGAAAAGAAAGATGTCTTATCAAAAATCGGTGGATCACAAAAATATCACCAAGACAAAGAAAATGTTGAAACTGATTAGTTACTTTTTGTAATAAGAAAAAGATAAAGATAGATCTCATAATGTTAATTGTTAATAAAAAATATTAATGATTAAGAATATTTAAGAAACATAAGAATTTGTTATGTTTGTTTGTTGCATTTTGCTTTAGTATATACATAAGTACTATTTTTTATGACTTAGAGTCTAGATAATTAGAAGTTAAAAAGTATTACTAAGCTAAGGAATACGAAGACTGATTTACTTTCTTGCGAATTTAATTAAAACATATCATTCACAAATTGCCTGATTAGATCTCATAATAATTGTTAGGTACTTAATAAAAAATATTTATGATTAAGAAACATAAGAATTTGTTATGTTTGTTTGTTGCATTTTGCTTTAGATTTTATGCATAAGTGCAATTTTTTTGTGACTAGAGTCTAGATAATTAGAAGTAGAAAACTATCCCTAAGCTAAGGAATCTGAAGACTGATTTACTTACTTGCGAATTTAATTAAAACATATCGTTTACCAATTGCCTGATTAGATCTCATAAAGTTAATTGTTATTAAAAATATTTGTTATTGAGAAACAACAATTTGTCATGTTTGTTTAGATTTCATAATGTGATAATATTTGTTTGCGAGTTGTTTTAGATTTTATGCTTGAATGTTGATTTTTATGCTCTTTTTCTGGTCAATTTAATAAAAGTTAGTAGTATAATCTGATAAATCTGATTGCTAGAATAATTGGAAAAATATAACCTTATAAGCGGGTATAAGAAAGAGACAAGATGTATTTTTTTTAAGAAAAAGTTTTGTTTAATTGTTTTTATTAAGTTCAAATCACGTATTCTGTGAAACGAAATAAATAAATGCATAAAAAATAGAAACATTTTGTTTAATTAATTGTTTTTTTTAGTGCAAATCACGTATTCTGTGATTTCTGTGAAACTAAATAAATAAATGCATGAAAAATAGAAACATTTTGTTTAATTACCTATATATTTTCATCTCGTCCGGGGAAAAAATGCGATATACGCCAAATGTCCGGGTTTTTTTAAATATTTGTCCGGGTTTGGCAAATATTGAGATGGCAGCCCTACACCTACGTATATACAAAGGTACAAAAATACTACATTATCTTCAGTCTTTAACTGCCTCCGTGGCCGAACGGTTACCATGCCGGACTGCCACGCAGAGGTCCCAGGTTCGATTCCCGGGCCGGGAGAAATAGTTGTATGGCCTACAATTATTTCTCTCGTGAGTTTGGGTGTAATTTGTGGTTGTCTATATGTGTGTCCATGGCACCCGCGACACAGGGTTTCCCTAGTGCGGGGCTATGTTGAGTGTGTGCGTTATTTATTTATTATTTTATTTATAGTGTCTATTGTGCGTTTCGCAGTCATACACTGGTACCAAGAAATTTTCCATGGCGGTATATGCGAATCATATAGGTTCATAAGCATCTTCTGCCTCCATACACGATTTTATAGATTGTTTTTTCTTACGAGATACGCACGAAAATTTGTCATTATCACTTCGAGCGCAAGCAGTTTATCTGAAGCGGGACGAATAAGTAGTGTTGCCCAAGGAGATAGTTAAACGAAAAAAAGTTGCTAGATTCTAACTAAAATATTAACTATTCAGAACTAAAAGATTTAGCTACGAAATATTTTGTTTTGTAGCTAACGATTTCGTAACTGTGGATAAATCTATATAGCTAAAAACTGGCTGCAGTGGTAACACTGCGAATAAGTGTAGCACCGCGTTTACACTATCGTCGATTGTTTCGACGAATGTTTTGTCCAAACAATCGACGAAACATTTGTGTCGAGTGGTTGAAACGCGTTCACACATTCGTGCGATAGGCGATGCGAATAGCGATGTGTAAACGGTCACTTCGCTATTCGCGTCGCGCCTCGCATCGCCACTCGTGCGATCGCGTCGTGAGCGGTGTTTCGAGCACGAGTCAAAGGACACGAGTTTTTTTTAAAAGTGTACTTTTTTTGAGAAAAAAGTATACAATCTACAATCAATGGTAAATATAAACTCTTGGTATTTCATGGCATGTATCCATACCATTTTCGTAAATATTTATACAATGCATTTTCATTAAAATGTATACAAAAAAAAGGTTATTGTAAATTCTCGGATAACACTCAAACGGGGTAATTATCACGGACTTGTATATTAAACTGGACCGCTCACTAGGTTAATAAACGAACCGAGTGAGAGGCTTCAAAGTAGAAATGCGTCTCTTTCATTCATGTTTCAGCCAGCCACATTGTTTTTAGTGTAAACGCGGTGTTACACGTGCGTGTCGTGCATCGCATCGCTATTCGCATCGCCTATCGCACGAATGTGAGAACGCGGCATTAACTTCGCGTCGCCACACGTCGCGCGAACTTAGGCACGAGTGGCGAGACGCGAAGTACACTTATTCCCAATGTTGCCAGTTTATAGCTCGTGCCTAACTTCACGTGACACGAAAAACGAACTGATCGTTTATGCGTAACTTGAAATTAAAATGAGTTTGAGGGAGTACCTCATTTGAAAAAATGAGGCGGTACAATGTCCTACTTCGAATGAGGTGAGGTAGTGGTAAGAATGCTTGCACCTACTGCAATGACTCAACGGACAGGGAATATTAAGCACATTTTCATAACTTGATGGCATCAATTAATTGGATAACTTAAGTGTTTGGTTATGACATAGTATAAATAAATGCTAATTTTATTTAGTACTATGATAGTATGATCATATGATGTAAAACCAGCTGAAAAGCGGGCAGTGCAGGATCAATCATTGTTGCATTTTGTTGAATTCGAAGCAGTGTGACATGAGTGAGGCTTGTGAAATGAGGCTATGACATGAGGTGAGGTATTTGGTGGGACATTTTTGACATGAGGTGTTGTGACAAACTAACCAACGAGTGGTACAAACGAGTTGCCCCATGTATGAGTAACTCAACTCTAATGCGTATTCATGTATCGCATCGCCACTCGCATGAATGTGAGAATGCGGCAATAGAGTTGGATTTAAATCTTAAACTCGACGTGCTCTTGACTGTCATTGAAACCCCTGCTATGATGCCCTGGTGACTCATGTGATTTTTTTTGTCCAGAAAAAGTTTACTGCATGCTAAAATTTTTGTTTTTGATTTAACAACATAGGGTATGTTATGAAAAAAAAATTATAACACAGTGACATTTTATTTTACTGTAATAAATATGAATATGTTTTAAAAAAGATAGCTAACTTATTTTATAAGCACTTAAAAAAGCAGTAAAGAATAAGCCACAGTTAGTACCCTTCATCACTGATAGTGATTTTGTATCCAGGGTATGCATCTTTGATCAGTTTGGCTGCAACTTCATGATCAGCTTTGCCATAGCCTTGTGAATAACCATAGATGTGAATTTTCTTTTCCTTAGGTTCATGGGATATTCTACCACCACCAAGCGGTTCACAGTCCAACGGCTTTAGTTTTTCCTGGACCTGGTAATCATATAGATATGGTACAATCATACTATGTTGCATTTGAATTTATATAAAAATGTTTTATAAATTATACATTATTCATCATCGTCAAACCATTCATGCAGATTTCACACGTTTTCTGTGGTTGTGAAACTTGTTTGACATGCAGCTGTCATCACAATATTTTCGTTCACTGAAATGCTCAAGGTAAATTTCAAATTAAATTTTGCACATGAATTACGAGAAACTCAAAAGGTGCGAGTCTGGTTTCAAAGCCAGGACTCTGTTAGAGGCGCCAGGTCAAATCATATACACTATTGGTTACTTGTAATAGGACGATATAAGGATAGCTCTGTGTATTGTAGGTAACTATCGTCTTGATATTCCCAACTCAGTGGTTCTGACAGTATATGTTGGTAAACAATGATTTGGGTAGGTTTTTTAACACCCTTGCCATAAATTACCATTTTGGCAGTATGCTTTAATTAATTGTAGTGACAAGTAAAATAAAGAAATTCATGTTAATGGAAATTTTGTTTACAGACGTTTCAGGTACTACTGTCTCTTCTTTGGAAACATAATGACCGTGGTAGACATGTCCGAAACCAAGTCAGTGTTCCCCACTGCTTTCAGGGTGACTACTCTCGGTTGCCGTCTCACATCCGTCCGAAACAATTACTGTCTAATAAGTATTATTCGGCAAAATTAAAAGACAAGTATCCAGTATGAAGCTTCATTCGGATCACACGTCTTTTCATTTGTCAAGTATTGCTTATTTGGCAGTCATCGTTTCGGACGGATGTTGGACGGAGATCGAGAGTTATTACCCCAGGACTTGTTATCCAATATTGATTTTTCATTCCACTATTAAATTCATTTTAGGTACTGTAGAAAAATAAAAAGTAAGATTCTATTAATATACATAACCTCTTAAGCCTCTTGCATTAAAATGTTTCCGACTGAAGGATTTTGTATTCAGGTTACGTAATTAAAAAAATAGGTTGGTATGGCTAAAATAGCTTTTACACGTAATAAGTAAAATTAAAAGTTATAAGTAAAATTCCATACCTCATCATAAATATCCGAATGGTAGTTGCATCTTTTGTAACCCCTCAAGATGGTAACGGACGCACCCTCAGCTTCGGCATCAGCTGTATGTACATTCAAAAGAATGTACTTAAAAACTCCTTCAGGATCGATGTCTACTTTTGGCACGGAATTTAGCTCAGGGCTCCTTGAATCCATTACACAAAGCCTCTTTGGCAAAAACGGTGCTAAAAACAAGCCAATGAAAATATACACTGGCAATAGTTCAAATAAATGCAACATATTTCTTACCGGAATATTGGAAAGAGGTTATGTTATTTTTAGTACAGAACTCGATTGATATTTACCAGAAAAGATAATTTTGTGTTCTTTGCGTAAAATTACAGTCGCAAAAGGTGAAAATGTTCGCAAAAGTTTACAAATAACCATTCGTTTGACTTCTTTTCTTTGCTTACAACAATAACATTAACATTTCTATTATTAAAACAAAAGGTCGTCAGGCAGTGAAACCAGTCAAGAAATTGTCATGTCAATGTCACATTGGTTAAATCAGCTTTGATGTGTAAATTGGAACGTATTTTTTACATAGGTTCAGAAATATTTTTATGCAAACCGAGGCGTTATTCGATTAAATGTATAGGGATTCGCTCTGGACCTTTTGGAGGGAAAAGTGTCGTTTATAATGACAAAATAATGACTTTCAATTATTTTGTGAAATCTAGTTCAAAGTGGAATAGGATAGTGAAAAACGCGAAATTATACGAATCTCGAACTAAAATGCCCGCATCGGCCCGTTTTAATGAATCCCGAGTCAATCCAAACACGCCGCGCCGCTTCAAATTGCCTATCCTCTTTTTGGCGGCCATATTTACAGAAACATAATTAAACTTCATGTTTAGGCTGATGGCTTTGCCAAAGCCTTAATACATAAAAAAAATTAAATGTATAGCATAAACACACTTGTGCGGTTGACGTGTGTGTGTATCTACCTCTTCAAATCTAATTTGAATTTATTATGGTAAATTTTAATAATTCCTTACTGTACGGGTTCGTTCATATTCTCAGTCGTCTCAGCGATGATGTGCTCACACCTACTTGAAGGTTGCCCGCCATGGCATACCCAAATCTCTATCTGCACCGCAGCCACTTGGAATTGTGTCAGGAACAAGGCAACCTTAAAATAATCTTATCAAGTATTTTTCCGTTACACTTAACTGAAATACTTAATATTTGACTGGTATTTTCTGAAGTACGAAATTTTTGCAACTGTTTAGATACTTCGATTCGCATTATATTGGTAACGCAATATTATTAAAACAGTATACTGAAAATGAAACTATTTTTCTGATCTAAATCACGTTTTACTGGTCCTATAGTCACGGCTGACTCGGTGACTAAAGTTTCGCCGTGACCCCAGGACCTGTAAACGCTACAACCTGCAATTAATTGTCTGGAAAAACAAATACACGCTATTTAAATCCGTAAAATATTTCAATTTTAATATGTTATAATCGTAAAACCTATGAAATCAGCATACTGAAGTCATGCATTTCTGTAAAGAGAATCGCAATCCGTTGCTGAACTGTTTAATACTAGATCAGGGGTCGGCAACCTTTTGAGTTGGAAGAGCAAAAAATTACAATTTACAAAATTTCATAGTTTTTAAAGAGGCACTAAAATTTTTCTTGCCAATATTATAGTATTTGCTTATATAAAGGCATACTTGAATTTGATTTAAAGTATCTTTGATTTTGATCTGTGTTGAAGTAATTCGTGTCAATAGTTGTTGCATTGGTTTCATTGCGATATTGCTTTCGATTTTCAAAATGAAGTAGTTTACCGCTCTCAATGTCTTCTGCAAAAATAATTAAGTAATTTTTTTTTTCGAAACAAACCATTTCTTCTAGCATAGTATATAGGCTGGGATTCCCTTTCCTTGCAATTTTAGATTCAGCTTATTTAATTTCATTGTGATATCCACCATAACGTTGAATTTTTGCAACCATTTGTCGTTTTCGAGTTTAGGGTGGTTAATGCTAAACTAAAGAGCCCCAACTTCACATCGAAAGAGCCGAAGCCGAGCGGCTCGCGAGCCGCATGTTGCCGACCCCTGTACTTAAAAATCGTTATGTTACCCGTCTTTTCGGCAGTGACTCCGTAGGTGGGGTATTCTAATTTAAGCATTCTAGCTGTGTTAATATGAGACGCTTGATTGAATCCTGCAGAGGTTCCGAAAACATGAATTTTCTTGGCCACTGGATCAAAAGTTATTTTGCCTCCTCCCATCGGTTCACAGTGTAAGGGAAGTAAATTTGTTTTAATCTGAAAAAAATATAGTATTTCATAGAAGAAATCGTCTATACAATCATAGGTATCTTTAATCCTGCTCTACGAAGACTTAATATACATTCCATCGACTAGGAATACGTGGAAAAATTTTCATTTATACCCAATAGTTACTAGTTTGTACTTAGTTACCCGTGGAACTACTGCAACTCAACATTTCTACCTATACATGGAACTAGTGGAAATAAATTTAAATGCGTTTGGTTGAGAAGTATCCTAATAAGAGTAAAAGTGGATCTCACCACATTTTTTTTTGGATTTTATAACATCGTGAAACCAATACAGCCACTAAACGAAAAAGTTAAGGTATCGGGAAATGAACCAATGATTCTGAAAATAAATTTAAATTTTAAAAAGAGAAATTTTTGTATAGTGGCGGCTTAGAATAATAACGCATAGAAACCTAGCCCGCACACGCTAAGTGAGGCAAGTTAGAGGGTGCCAAACGCGTCCCAGGAGCGCGCGGGCTGTTAGTGCTCAAGGTCATATTGCACCGCGAACAGCTCCAAAATTTTTTGCTAAAAATGACGAAATGTGCGGTAAATGGGTGTAAAAATACAACAGACAAACAAAATAGACACTAACATCGCATTCCACAAGTAAGTAATGCGTTTCAACTCATATTTTTATGTAAATATTCACTAAAACAGAAAAATAATTTCGCGGCAACAAGATACGAAAGTGTTGCAAAGTAACGAATTTTTTTTCTCCCCATTTTGCTATTCTGTATCAAAATAATTATATTACGTAAATTTTAGTGGTGCCTGTAATTTCGATTTATTTGCGCATTTTGAACTAATATTTACATGAATAAACATTAAATGTTTTCGTTAACTCCTGTAAGTGATTGGGACACTTAATTATTTTATAATACTTTTAACGGCTCTGCGTTCATGCTTTATTGAATAATTATTTATATTAATTTTATTTGAATTGGAGCACATATTGCAACAAATTTACAGTATATATTTGTTTCTACTATAGTGTTGGCACCACCAGTACAACTTTGATAGCTTATTATATGTCTTTCTTTTCGTAACTCAAGCGAAATATTTTATATTAAAATATTTTATTTTCTTAAAAGGGGAGCATTCTTAAGCGATTTTTTAATCTATTTTAACAGTTATTTTCTTTAATGTTTGCTTATGGCATTTTCGGTTTAAGGTTTCGAATATGGCACTTATTTCTAAATCCAAGATGGCGGGCGCGATTTTTCGAATAATGGCAAGTTGGGTATCGTTTTCGAGATGTTTGGGAATGTTCAATACAAATATGGGACTCATTTCTAAATCCAAGATGGCAAACACGACAGTTCAAACAAAAGCAATATTCGTAATGAGCACCCCCAAATACCCCGAAAACGATACCCAACTTGCCATTATTTGAAAAATCGTGCCCGCCATCTTGGATTTACAAATAGTGCCATATTCACATTGAGCATCCCCAAATACCTCGAAAATGATACCCACATAGCATTTTTTTGAAAAAATCGTGCCCGCCATCTTGGATTTACAAATGAGTGCCATATTCGTAATGAGCACCCCCAAGTACCTCGAAAATGATACCCATATTGCATTTATTTGAAAACTCGTGTCCGCCATCTTGGATTTAGAAATGAGTGCCATATTCGTAATGAGCATC